TCAGATTCAACCACAGAATTATGTTTTAAATGATCTGGTCCCTTTTTAAACACATACACACACACACATTCACACACACAAATAGAGAGGTACTGTATATTTACTGCTCAGTCTTCTGAGGCCGAGCGGACTTTAAAAAGCAGGTGTTGTACAGAGCTAGGCTGGGGTTAGGGTCCTACCTAGGCTTGATTTATGACCAGCCACTGGGTGGAAATCAGCACAGTTTTAAAATGGGTTAATATAACCACCCAATCTTCACTGTGTTGCTCTGAGGATAAAATTGGAATCTTATTAAACGCCTTCTTCACAAAAGCAGGGTGACGTTAACTTTGTCCAAGGTACACCCTATTGAGAAAGGAAATTTTCAAAGTAATTAAACCACTAAAAGTCTCAAACATTTGTATAACAATCCTACCCCACAGTTTCTGAAAAAGGGGGGAAACTAGATGAGATACCAAGCAGCCAGGGGAAAAACAAATAGAGCCATTTAAAAGCTTTATCTAATTACCCCCACTGAGACTTTTTCTCTGCAGTCTGGCTGGCTGACAAAGAATGTGGGGGTTTTCATTGGGCTTTCTCCACCCTATCAGGACCACCCGCCCTCATGGAGTCTGAAAGGCCTCAGGTGAATCCTGCAGGAGCAGTCAGTGCCCGGTCCTGGGGATTTTACAGAGGCTTTCAAATTCTCTTAGCATTACTTGCTTGAATCACACTGAACAAACAGTCTCCACCCTCTCCCACTTCTTTTGTCTGAAGCACCTATTCACCAGCAGCCACCTCTACTGATGGCTGACTGGCTCACCTGTATCCTGAAGTACCATCAGAAACAAGATGCACCAGTAGCTGGAAGAAACAGCTCCCCGTGCCCTCTTCCAGGGCCTCCCTTCCTCTCCACCCCACCCCATCTCCACCAACTGACGATACCAACAGTCAATACCCAGGGAAGGTGAGAAGAGAAACTGAGACCAGCACAGTGGATGACACTGTCCACAGGACAGCTAACATAACAGGGAAAAGTCCATCCCCTCACTCCCATCTTCCTCATTCTTCTATCCCAGTAGTAATGCAAATATTTCAACTGGTTTTCCTCTGTATTCTGCCTCCTATTAGAGTTGGGGAAATTAAAAATAAGTGATGCATTTCAGAAAGCACATCGTATGCCTCCCTCTGTGTTTCATATGGTACACCTTTTACCTCTGATTTATGGGGAGGGCCCCTAAGGCATGGAAACCACAATCTGACCCCTATGTTTTGAAGAGGGCCGGGGCTATTTCTACTCAAAATCATTTCCTAAGTCAGACAGAAAAAAAAAAAAATCATATACCCTGCCTCCTCAAAGGAACCCATCCAATTTCTTAATTATATTTGGATATAAAAATATTACTCAACTTTGCCTGTTCAGTAGGTCATATGTACACAAGTAACCTTGAGGCAGGGAAACTTTTGACTTACAGAGGACTTGCCTTTCAACCAACCACAGCTTCAGTTAGATTTCAACCATTTTATCTCACTGAAAACGCCAAGATCCTTGAACATAGTTATGGCAGAAATGTATATCACATCCCGCCCCCTAACATTTGGTCAGTCCTTCCAAAGATATTCTACACCTAATATAATTATTTTTAAAAGGTATTTAGAACTGGGTTGAGTAAACTGAGATGAAGAAGTGGAGTAAAAAGGAGGAGGAGCCCTATCAAAACCTAAAGGAATGATAATCTCAGTAAAGGGGTAAGAAAATGATGTCCTGTTATTAGGAGAGACTATATTGCATACTTCCTACTGATACTATACTGCATTTCTATCTTTTAAATGCTAATCTGTTTAATAAGGAGTGAACTAAGACATTGCTTCATGTATTAGGTAGATTTTCCAAAACAAACTAAAATTTCTGCTACTAATAAATGAAATACAAGTGATGTTACTCACACATATCCTCCTGAATGTAAGGTTTAACCTGAATACACAGGTAATATACAAGAAGTCCCCCCAGACGAACTGTCATTTGACACCAGAATTGGTCAGAGAGCTTGAACTTCAATTAAAAGACACTTACAAAAGAAAGAGTGCTTATTTAAATATGATAACAAAAACAAAACAAACTTAACATCCTACCTTCCTGGGTCAAAGGACATGGGGAACTCAGAAATTAATTAAAGCTAGTAAATAATGTAAACCAGGGAAGGACTCCTTTTCAAAAATGCTTTGGTTAATTTTAGCATCCTTCTGTTTAGCTGCTTAGCAACCCTTATCCTATGACCTTTTGAGCATCACCTACTTTTCAGAAGGATAATGAATAGAAACATCAAAAGGGATTCACATCTGACTCTTTCTAGTGAACATATTGAACCAATTTCTGTAGGAGTTAAATTTATATTAATTATGCCATAAACCTAAAAGAATTTTTAAAATTTTATTAATCAGGAAATAGCCTTTGCTGAAGGTAGTAAATGATGTTGACAACTGAGCATAAGGTAGCAAGCAAAGATTTCCAAACTGACCTAGGAAGTGGACCAACACAGCAATTCAAAATTGAACATAAAAAATGAAAGCTACATAATAGCAATCAGCTACTACCTGACCTACAGCAAGTAACTAATAAACATCTGTACATCAGGTGCAGGACTAACAAGGTTAGGTTTATTTCCCTTCTTCAATATCTGTACCTGTCCTGGATGCAAATAAGACCTCAGAAATCGGCCTGAAGAAATCTAAAATAGAAGACCCTTGAGTCAAAAGGTCATTTGTTGGATGATGTAAATAGTTAGGAATGGATGCACCACCTCTGCCAGCTGAGTCAGACCCATCTTCCCCATCACATAACAAACTGACGGCGTAGATTCTTGATTTTCTAATGAAAAATTAGTATCTAGAAAACTCAGAATCATATGCTATAGAACAGTAAGCATCAGCAGCACTTACGAGTATCACACAGTCAGGAAATCCTCCTTAAAAACAAAATATCCTAAAGTGCAATCAGCTTAGCAGTATTTTTAAGAATGATAAAACAGTGCAAGTTCATTAACAATCTAAAATGGAGCACAAGCTAAACAAATAACTAAATCAAAGGGATCTCCCTTTCTTTTGTAAAAAGGGGGTAGGAGAGAAGGTATTTTTTCACACATTTAAAACTTGATAAAAGCCATTCAAATGTTTAATTCATCAGTGTAACCAAAGCTCAAAACACATCAAAGCAGGATCCATCAGCCGGTACCCAGAAGGCTCCCTCCAAAAGCAGCAATAAAAAAATAAAAATAATCTTAAAGTTAGTGGCTCACCTTTGCATAAATTTGAAGACTAACTTTGAACCCATTCCTTCAAAAGTTCTTTGTGACTCTTGAAGGAAGCATAGAACTAAACGTTTGCAAAAAAAGAAGAAGTTTCAGCCAAGACTTCAGCCTCTTAGACTTCCGGGTTACATTAGGTCTTAGAACTGGAAAAAGCACCAGATCTGGGGGATACATTTTAAGGATTGTGAATGTGGTGGTGGTGGTTGGGGGCACCGCCCCCCAAACACAAAACAAAAACCATTCCTTTCGCTGCAGTTCCTATTTCTCCACCTTCCACTTCAATTAAACTTATTTCAGAATACACTCACGTGCATGCACAGACCACTGAATATTTAAAGAAAAAAATATCTCAAAATTATGGGATGCACATTAGCAACTCAACCTTCGCAGAAATCATCTCAAGTCTCTTCAAGACAGAAATACCTCCCTATTTCCAGCATCCCTATCCAACAAGAAACCTTTCTATCCATTGGTTTTCAAAAGGTTAAGCCTAAATCTAAACTCTAAAACAAGCATGAGGGTTAATCCCGCTACTGATGAAAACCTTCGGGCAGGTTTTTCAGCACACCAAAAAGTTATATTTTTTTATTTACCCTTCTACCCATCTCCACCGCCATCACCACCACCACCCCCAAAAAGAAAAAAACTCCAAAGTGCCCCGAATGTGTGCTGCTGCTGGCTCTGAAGCCGTGTAGAATTTCGTAATGGAATGTGAACTGCTCGTCCGGATCTGGGCTCACGTTCTATCTTCTAACCAGTAAGCAGCGAGGGAGGGCAAATCTGCTGAGCAAGGAGAAATACTTTCCTCCTCTTTTATAACCCATCACGGATGCACCGCGGACGCTGGACGCGAGCTGCACGCGGCGCCTGT